TTTTGGATCAAGGAGTACAAGCAATACAAATGATTCAATCAATTTAATCATAGGATTTCTTCAATTTCAAGTAATTTTCAACAGCCTTCGGTCGAATTAGAACATGCTACGTAAAGTTTTTTTATTATCGCCGATGAAAATCAGATTCGGAAATTAAATAGATAAAACTAAGAATGATTTTTTTTTTTAATTCCTTAACTGAATGTGGAGCTTTAGAAAACCACCCTAGTTGAGATTGAAATCTCAACCTACGTATTTATTTCCAAATAATATCTCATTCCAAACAAGTTGTTGTGAAGATTAATGTCACAATCTACATTTATTAAGGTGTTAGAATATTCGGGATTCAATTTCCTCGTTAAGCAGCCCTCAAATCTTAACGTGGATACGAAATTTTGGAGAAGACAAGTTGGAGCATTAAACAACGAATGAAATTGTGCAACTACATAGTACAATATTAAATTCATGTAATATTTCTTCACCTAACAAATTTGTGGAATGATTTCAAGCAATTATAGTTAGGGTACTTGTCTTTATTGTGAAAAGTTTCAAGCAATTCGACTATTCCAATGATCTCATAGAGGAGTTAAACAGGATGCGGTTTGCGATTTTCTCTTTGTAAACTTCCTTTTATCATAGTGAATTACTGCAGTGACAGAAGTAGGCGTAGTCTCATTTTAGGCAAACATCTATTAAGTTTGTGTGTTCTCACATTTATTTTCTTCCTACAACTTTATCGCCTTTGGTGATAAGTTTAGAATTTCTAATTCCGACATTAGTATTTGAAATATGTTTCACGTGAACTTAAAGAAATTAACTCTCGTAAGATCAACATATGCTTAATCTTTAATTGTTATATTTGTAACAGTTTTTAAAATGGAAAACATCGTATATTAATTTATATATTCTCCTTATTTATTGACCTATAAGAGGGGTACAAAGGAAGCATTTTTTTTGCATGAAGATAAAAGGATAGAAATAAATCAATGCGCATGCAAAACTTAGCTTTCCTTGAATAGTCTTATGGTTGTTTTGCAATAATACTTGAAAGGATGCGTCTTTCCACTCGCACGGATCGAAACAAGGTTTTGTATTTTTTGAAAAAAAAAAAAAATTCTGTTAAACCCTTGTTTGAGCTAAATTTTTTGATAAAAAAAAAAAAAATTTAATCACACATTTCTCATCAATACACTATTCATAAATGCATTTTTCCTGACAAAAATGGGGATCAAACAATAAGTTGTAAGCGACACAATCAACGAAGGGTCGATTGGCCACCCAATCTAGCTAGCTCAAACTTAAGAATATGTTCTCTTTACCATTTTCAAGTCGTTTTCTTTTTTTTTTTCGATTTTTCAAAATAGTGAAAGCGCGTTCTCTTTCCTATTTTCGAAAACATATTTTTGAAAACAAATTAAAAATTTACAAAGTCCCATTTTGGGTGTTTTCAGTTATAATCATGTCAAAATTTCAAAACGCGTTTTGGGTGTTTTCAAAACAATTTTTAAAAATACCAAAAAGAACACATTTTCAACAATCTCAAAATGAACACTTAAAACACAAAACTCAAAATGAATTCAAAACTCAAAACTGAAACACAAAGAGAATAGCCCCTAAAAATTTTAAGGGATAATCCAAATTTTGTGAGAATAAAATGTTTTTAAGCCCCTGTTTGGACCACATTATTTTTTCATTCTCATTCTTCTACTCATTTTCAACCACACATTCTTCAATAAAATATTTTTCATCACATCAATAACTTTTCCTTCTCTTTCAATCATATATTCTCTATCACATCACTTCAAAAAAATGCATTATCTCATTTTAATGTGTACCAAATCGGCTCTAACTTGGCAAGAAAACAAAAAAATAAAATTTAAATTTAAATTTGTTAGATTTGTTAGCAGACATCTGACTTTGTTGGTCTGTTGACATTAATATGATGTGATAAAAAGAAGTGTAGGTTTTCATGCATCTATCCCATTAACAAATAAAATATTAATAAATATATATGGTTACTGAGTACCTTTCTTATACCTACATCAATCTCGTGTCGGCAAATATCATAGGTTGGTTTTATGGGCTAATTAATATTAAAATAAAAAGAAGCCATCTAAAGAGAAGAGGACGACAAATCCAGTGAAGTAGGAAAATGAGGACGAATCACATGATTTTGGGAAGTGGCCGGAGCCAAGATTTTTTTTTTTTAATACTCGGGTGTTTCAACTTTGTCAGACTAAATCCTGGACCTCCAAGACCCTTGCCCCTAGAACCTTTGAGAATGTAAATCGCAGGATATACCTCAACTAGTTCCCAAATTTTCCTCACCAACTGTAAAGTTGATCACAATGGATCATCCTTCAAAATGATTGCTCCAGACCGGAGCCAAGATTTTTACTTGTAAGGAGAGCGGCATTTTAAGAAATAAGGCTACATATTTTGTTGCGAAAGCTTGAAATTAATATCAAATCTAGAAGAAAAAATTGAACATTAATTCAAACATATTTTTCTTCAAAATAAATTCCATTTATTATCCTTCCGTACTTTCCCTCCTTCGCGAAACGCATATAATTATTAAAGTTCTAATGAACATGTCCACTATATACTTTCATCATTCTACGGCTCCTTTCGGCACTTAGTGTTACAAACAAACTATCGTGAAACAAAAATGCCCATTATATACTTTCATCATTAAGCAACTCAAAAAGGGTCGAGCTCATAATGAGTGCAGACCGCTCAACTTGAGACATACATCGACTTTTGAGGAGTTGAAACTTGAAATTATTCTATTTGTATACCTTACCACAATGATTAATCCATTCTTTATAGCCTTCTAATGGCCCTACTTAATTTATTTTGAGAAAATTGCAAAAAATATCCACTTTTATATAGTCATTTGAAAATATGAAGATAAAATTATTTATATGAGTTATATATATCTTTTGTGGTGTACGAATGGTCGTAATGGAATGAATAAATGTATGAGTGAATAATAGATAGCATGTTTATGTCATTTTACTTATGGTTAAAGTAAATAAGAAAATTGTGGTGTGCTAATTACTTATTGTGGTGGTAATATAATCACTCTTAATTTTTTTTTACTTTTTAATCACATATTTTTAATCATATCATTATTTAAAATACATTATTTCCTCAATAATATCCATCATACACCCCCTAAATTGTTCGAAAAAGACACATTTGTTTATTTATTTAAATTTCAACTTCAACACCTTATGTCTAGATTTGTTAGTTTCATCATGGATTCTTTGTTACAATATCATTAGACTTATAAAGTCCAAAATTAAATACAGTAATGCCCAAAAATTATTCAACGTAAATAATATTTTTGAAACAAATGTGTTAGGTCAAGAGAATTTGACAATTAAAGAAGATATGTAAATAAATAACGTGTACAAAAGTAGACGAGATAGTTGATAAAATTTCAATTCTTACATATGTATATATCTAATATGTCCTCGATTATTACATAACTCTCTAATAAGGATGGCAAAATGACTCGTCGACTCGAGCTGCCCGGAAAAAGCCTGAGCCGGGCCGGCTAGTGGCTCGGTCCCGTTTTGGGGCGTCGCTCGAGCCACGCCGGCTTGTGAGCCAAAAAAAAAAAAAACTTGCTTGCCACTTCTTCTTTTTTTATTAATTTTTCTTTTAATTTCAGCTGCAATTTTTTTTATATGTTATTATTTATAATACGTATAAACTGCACAAATTCTAAATTCCTTAAAGAAATTTAGATTTGTCACGAATTAAAAAAAAATTGAGCCGACTCGGGTTGAGTCTAAATTTTTTGGCCGAGCTTTTGCTTGGCTCAACTCGGGCCAAAAAAACTCAAACTATTTTTACTCGAATCGAGCCCGAACAAAAAGTTTCGGTTCGACTCGTTGACACCCCTACCTCCAATGAGTAAATATTGATTTAATAATTGCGCTTAATCATCTTTGGTAGTGTGATAGATCGATGCTAGCAATAAAATGTGACTCCACATAATATTAGAGGGTTCATATGATGAAATTGTTTGATATGAAATTTCATACTTGTCAATTGAAAACTGTCTAATTTTGATAACTCCTGCAAAAATGGTTAAATTTGGTACCAAATTGTTTAGTAAACCCTCAATCTTATGTGTTAAGTTATTATTGGTCAATACAATTTTTAATTATATAAATAATTTTATCTTCATTGTGGAATTGAAAATTGTTAACGATGGCATTTTAGTCTATATTATAATAAAATGAATCTTGAAGAAATTTTAATTGTAGTGTGATTATAATGTGGTGTCGGAAATAAAATTTGTTGTGGTAATATAATTACCCAAAAGTTATTGATGTAATGACAAATATTATTTTATTGAAGAATACGTGGTTAAAAATGAGTTTTGAAAGAATACGTGTCAAACAGAGGCTCAAACGTCTAGATGTCATAATTCATTATAATATGGAGAGTACAACATTAGTATGGTTTTGAAGTCTCACTATTACGGAAAAATGTGTACATATTAGACTTTAATCCGGCCTATAAAAAGTGCGACTCTCTGTAAATGTTAAAGCTTTTATATGAAATGATTAAACGTGCATTGACGGATTACATGAATGTTAAATGTCAACCAGCCTTGTCCAATTCAAAGTACCAAGGTCGCACAGAATATTACGACAATGAGTTCGACAAATTCCTAAAACTGAGTAATGTGGTGGTTTAATGTGTTTGTCCAAATACTTAATCTCACATGGCTCATGTAATCTTCACTTATAATTCCAAATAATGACACATGGTTTCCAGAAAATGACACACTGTTTCCAGTAAAATGCAAGTGCCAGATTTACATATGACAGACAGACAGATTAAATTACATTATAATTTGGTACAGATAAGCTTTGTCCTCAAATACCATAAAACTTAACAATAAAACAAAAGATGCTGTAATAACTAGAACATGAAACTATTCTATAGATGCAGCAACCAATCCTGGCAGTTCATTTCAGTTAGCTGGGACGACGATTGAGACGATAATGTGGGGTTGATCTTGGGAGATAAAAAATCGATTCTGAAACTGCACAGCTTCTTTTGCAAGAAGTGTACAAGTTAATGAATCCAAATCTATCACTTAATGTTCTTGAAATCTTTGATCCCTTCCAAACATCAATCCCAACCGTTTGATGATGACTATGATCATCTTTGGAACACTCGACTAATGCAGCAAAAAAGGGGTCCTTTCTGAAACTGTCACTTGTCATGTACTTCTTTGGAGAAATCTCTTCTTGAATTTGTTTCTTGACGGGATTTGAATTTCCAGCTGGCGGCAATGGGAGGAGACCGGTGGCGACACTACCCTTTTTCTTGGGACTTAGTTGTTTGGGAATTCCGGGGTGTTGCTCCCAAGAAAATGGAACGCGGCCGGAGAATTTTAGGGGGATGTTATTAGGACTAAGTGATGAAAATTCTTCATCTAAAGACATTGATGAACCAAAATATGAATCCCAAGAATCATGTGACGGTGAGGATGAAGAAAAGGATGGAGTCCAGCGAGTCGAGGCCACCCGGAAAATTGGAGTCGAATAAGGGGTGTCTGTCTCAGGTGAGACAGTTTGGGCATGGCCATTTTTAGAAGCCATAACTTTTATGGAAGAATAAGCTTAATGTTTTTAGTGTAAATGTAATGTAAAATATCTTGGCTTGTACTCTTGCAGCCCTTATATATGCATGTTTTTGAATGAAAAATAAATTTTCTGTTGAAATAAAATATGTCTATTATTTTATTTTTTTCGATTATCAAATTTTCTACGTAATTAATTTAAATCTCCGTTAACAACTTGCAAAAACACGAGGCAATTATAGTCAAGCAATCATCTTATAGGGAAGCAAAAATCAAAGAGAGATACAACTTTGTGCGCTATTTTAATTAAAATTAATTAAATATATAAAAAAAAATTGTGATCAAATTAAATAAAATCATATATTTCCACTTTATGACATATAAAGCAAGTATTTTCTGGTATAAAATGAAGGAAAAAGAGGAGACATAATGAAAAGGATGGGCAAGGGATTGAAAACTTGTAAAATGTGGGGAATATTTTATGTGTGGTCACAATGGTGTGTATAATATTCGAAAATTTGGATATGTCCGTTCAATTGAAAAAATCAAAAATTGAGATCATTTAAACAAGTTGAGAAAATGAAAATCATTTGATCTCAAATTTTTTTTAATCGCATATTCAACTTCGATTTAATTATCTGATCCTCCGAACCACTTATCAAAACATTTCTAAATACTAAGCCTCATTTTTTTTAGGGGGAAAAAAAAACAAAATCTTACCCAACACCAAAAAGAAATACATGTGAGCCCTCGTGTGATTAGGTATTAGACCCCACGTTGACTCAAGTATGTCTTCTTTCGATTATTTCTTTCAATTAAATTAATAATTTTGGTACAAAATGGTTACGCATGACATAAAAAAAATTAATATTTAATTGTACTAACAACAACCAGCAATTTCCTAATTGGAAATATATTATAATTTTCCGTGTATTGGAGAAAAATATTTTGAAACATATGCCTACCACAACTTGGGTTAATTGGGGAAATTATTGAAAATGACCTAAATTCAACCATAACCTTTTCAAAATAACCCTTTTCA